AAAGAATCTTGTCTAATGTTCATCTTTGAAATAAAAATTCAGGTGAACAGACCAATTTAGTGATCTCCACTAGATATTTGGTAGACATTTTCTTCCTGCTGTATATTTTGGCCTTATGTTGAGAAGTTTGATTTATTATTAAATTATTGGTGTATGCAGACTTTAATCTGTACGTATTTTACTTTGATGTATTAGGATTTGTAAATATTACTGATTTTAAAATATTATTTATGCACATACTTAAAGGACTGGTCTACCCAGAAAAGCAATTGCAAAATAATAAATGCTACTTTTTAGAAAGAAACTGCAAGATCATTAAATTGTATATCCCTCAGGGTTATTTTTAAGGTGGTTGTTTTTTTTTTCTCTTCCCTTCAGATTGAAGTAGCAGTAACTAGTTTCTTGTTACTATAGAACTAAATCTACTGTAAAGAAAATGCTGCCAATAATGCTTGAATAGAAGCAGCTAAAACACCCACAGAACTGACTGTCCATATTCATCGTAACTATAAATTGGAAACTCCTGCTGTTGCACTTTTTAAAAGCTGTTGGATTTTTAATTCTATTTATTTTTTTTTCTTTCTTCATGAAGGTTGTGCTGAACAGTCATCCCAAATTGGGTAAATAATCCTGTACTGTATATGTGTATACAGTATAGTACTAAGCAGATGTGGAGTCCTTTTTATGCTGCAAATTTTTGATGCTTATGTTGGTCATCACAAAGTGAGAGAGCAGAAGTTCTGTTGGATTTCTCCTGTGAAATTCTGGAACGTAAGGTTAGGTTTTTGTATGTCTAAGGGAAAGCTGTGGGTTTCTGACAATTTTTGGTGTACTGAATATGCTGATTTTAAATACAGTAAAGCTTCAGGTTTTTAAAGCTATTTTCAACAAACTGCAGCTTGAGAATTAAGCGAACCAGAAACTACTCAGTTTGCCATTAATTCCTCTAGCCTAATACAAATTAAAAGGTTCATCATTACAGTGCTCTCTAGAAGCTCTGCTTCCTTTTTATTTTTAAATCTGAAATGATACTACATCTTGGTATTTAAAATATGTATTGCTGCTCTAGAATGGTACCCTGTTGTCAAGAGGCATACATAAAATAACTGTACAATAGAACTGTAAATAGACTTGTAAATCACTTTTGTGACTGAAGCTCTTTGAAAATAAAATTAAAATGAACAGATTTTAACTCTTTTCATTAGTTTCATGGAATTGTTTTTAATTACTCTGTATACTGTTAGACCCAAAGAATGTTGAAGAATAGACTCACTCCCACTGATGTCCTGTGTACAGTAGCACTGCTGGTCTGCAGCTTACGGTCACCTGGTGGTTAAGGAAAACCATTTTAACACCAGACCTTGTACAGAGCAACTCATTTCCACCTCCTGTTACCCAGATGTTCTGTCTGTTCTTTGACACGTGGAAATCCTGGTTGGATGTTCCTGGGTGTGAGCTGGTGCTGTTGTCACAGTCATCTTCAGAAAAATCACACAGAAATGAAGACATCTTTCCCATTCTGTAGCTCACTGTCCATTTAAATACTTCTTGGCAGAGCACACTATTTGAAAATTGAGAACAAGTTACTTGAAAGATCTGGTTAATTCATTACAAAAACTTAACCTTTTAATTTCAAGCTAAAATTTTGAAAACTTAAAGCCTTTCTCTCTTCAGAATCTTTCAGGCTTTGGGTTTTGTTGGCCTGTGACTACAGAAGGCTTGGAGGAAAAGCAGGTGAAATGTGTCAACCCTGGATTGCTTAGCCAAAGTGTTAAGAAGAAAACTTAATTTCTTGCTCAAATTGCTTTTGCTCCAGTCCTGCAAGAAAGTAAGAGTCAGTGCAGCCTTGTGGAGGTACATATCAATCACTTGGTTGTTGAAGGTAGATGTGTCCACTCCTTCAAAACCTACTGCACCCTTGTAGCAGACTGCAGTGAAACTGTCTTAACAAATTGGAAGTTTCTTTCTGCTCATACTTGCTGAAATGCAGATTTCTGACTAGCCAGATTTGCACTGGGTTGGTTGGGGCATGTGTTCAGATATCCTTGTCAAAGAAGCTAGAAGTGTATTTTTTATTCTGTTGCACGTGTGACTTCAGACTTCCTCATGTCCTGTAAGGGGTCTCAAGTTCTACTTTTGGAGTTGCATGCAACCCATGGAAGCAGGTTGCTGACACAACTAAATACAGGCAAAATCTGCTCTGAAGCTTAAAATACTCTGGCCTTTGACAGTAGTTACACAAATATGGGTGAAAGTGTTATCTACAGGATGTGTTTTGCTGGTTTGCTTCCCATGAAAAGTGCAGAATCATGGTGAAGCCTGATGGCCTGCTGTGCTTCCAGTAAGTTCCTCTAAAAAGCACAGAAGTTTCTAAGGTACAGTTCAAAATTCCTTTTTAATTTTCTTTAGAGTTTAGGAACTTGCAGGAAAGTGAAAAAGTGCAGCACCACAGGAAATTATACATGTGCTCAGTATTCTGTGAAACTAAGTTCAAAATTGATTTGTGACTTTTAATGTACTAACAGTATTAATGTATTGCTTCTGGCATCCTTTCATAGTCTGAGAAACATTAAGGAGTTGGTAGAAAGTGAAAGAGACTGTAGACCAGAATGTGGTAAGTGCTCAGGCTGGCTGGTGTCCTTTCTGGAACGGCAGGTGTTTCACATGATGGTTTGAGAAAGTTTAATACACAAGAATGTTTATGACTCTTGCATGGATCTTGCTATGCTCTCTACTATTAATATGCTCAATTATGGAAGTTTATCTATTAAAAAATACCATTAACAGCTCTAGATGTTTTAGATACATAAGATGATTTATCCAGTTCTTGTGCCAGTCATATTGTTGTGGCCTTAGTCTCCTGCAAATGCTTTTGTACTGCTTTTTTGTTTGTGAAAGTTTGCACCTTCTAGCACTTGTGTCTAACCTTGTCTTGTTGAATATTCTTACCTTTTGTCACGAGGCCAAGGAAGCAGCCATCCCCCAGCTAGCACTGCTGTTAGACTATTTTACAGACTCTGGCCTGCAGTCGTGCCCTCTGAGGGACCTGCATTTGCAGTCTGTAGCATAATTCCCCATTTAGTTCTCTAGATCCTGCTTTGTCTTGTTGAATCCTGTAGTTCTGCCGTGGTCTTGAGTTGGTGCAGGCTGAGATGCCAGTGAGGATGTGAAACAGAAAAGAAATGTGTGTCTCTCTCCCACGTGGTGGGTTGCACTCATACCACCCAGGAGCATCTCAGCAGCTGCCTGCTCTACCTGCTGCAGGCAGAGGTACTTGCCCTGGGTGCACAGGGATGAGCTCCTCAGCAGCCTGCTGAGGGGGGGACAGGAAGGATCAGGGCCAGGCTGGCTTAGGAGTGAACTGAGGTGAAGGCATCACTGATTTATGTGAGATGGTCAGTTTTGGAGTGGGGTGGGTTACTAGGAGAGTGAGAATCTCTGAAAGATTCTTGTTTGACTTGGAACAGTCCTTTGGAAGGGAGAAACTTTAAGGCTACTTTTGGTGACTTAGGGTCTCATTCAGGGGTTGGAAGGTCAGTGAGGACTTGCTTTGCAGCACCACGTTGCTGGTGGTTGATACCACTGGGTGCCATGTCCTTCCCTTCCCACGGAAGGGAGGCAGCTTTTGGCAGTCTTCAATACTCTGAAATCAACAAGGTACTTTTTTGATTGTTATTTTTTTAATGTACTCCCCTTTGCTTCTCTCGATGCAGCAGCTGTTTTTGCTCCATGGTGGTGCATTCTTGCCAGCAATTCAGGCACATCAGCAGCTCTGCTGTGCCTCCCAATTTACTCCTTTTTGAGCGACGGGCTTTGTCCACAGGCCTGTTTGTGGGCTTGGTATGGGAGAGCTTCATCCTTGCCCCTGGAAAAAGGTATGATGGGATGGAGCCCTCCTCCTCTCCCTGTGCTCTCAGTGCTGAAGACTGACACACAGTCAGCTGTTCCAGTTAGGTCTACAGGATGTGTCCAGCTATTCCAGCTGTCCCACCTGCTGCTTCTCCCACTGATCAGCCAGGTGCTTGACTTCCAGGTTTCTGATACACTTGGCCTTGATTCCACTAAGGAAGTATTTCTACACTGTGGATTTCTGTTTGACTTGTTCTTTTAAATATTATCATTATAGCTGCAATAATTTCTTTCCTGTTCCTTTTTTTTTTTGTTTAAAAAAATCTATGCAGCTTTCCAACTTTGTGGTGTGTTTCATGCAGAACTACCTTTATTGCTGCAGCTTTTTAGCTGACTTCATGGCTCTTCTTTCCTCTCAATTTATCATTTTTTAATACCACTGATAATTTAGTACTGTGTTAAGCTGTTGAAGTGAGACTGGTTGGTTATCAGAACCTTTCTACTGTCCTGTGCTGCATGAGCTCTTGTGTGTTATTTCAGGCTGTGTCAAGAATAGCCTTTTGCTTCTTGTGTGTCCTTGGGCTGTTCCAAGAAGTGATTACTTGCAGATACTGAGAGATGATTTCACAGAACTGTGTGCTCTTCTGCTTTTGGCCACTTAAAATATAGGACACCCTTTTTACCTCCTCTTATCTGTTTTTGCAAGCTAAACTTTCTTTTTAAACCTCAACCTACAATAAACATACTGTGGGTGCAGGACCTTTGATTATTTTTTTTTAAGACTTTGTGTAACTTAGTATAATACTTTTCTGTTTAAATAAATACATACCTTCTGACAGCTTAGTTTCATCATGATTTTCATATGCTTTTATTATACTTGACTAATACAAATATAAACAAGGGATACTTGATCTACAAAAGAGCTTTATCTGTACTTCTCAGTGTAAGATGAGCACCTCAGAAATATTTGCAACCAAGGAATAGAGATTTTGAGGTTTGCTTTGCAGCCAAAAGAAATGTCACTCACATTTGCAGATTTTATGATATAGTACCACAACATGATTGGCTACTAAGTTATAAACTACGTGTGATCAAATCCTGACTCTCTCTTATCTCTTGTAACAGCTAATGTTTCTGGTTCTTCAACAAGGATGTTAGTGTTCCATTTGTCAGTGATGATCAAGCTTTTCTTCCAGCTGGATGCATCTGTTTGTCCTGAGAAATGTGACTGCCCTTCAAAACGTGGAATTTATTGCTCTGGTCCCCACATAAAAGACTTGGAGTCATTAAATCTGCCTTGCAACATGACAGAAATTCACGTAACAGACACTAACGTAACATACTTGCCGGATGTTTTTTCCAGGATGGTAGAACTGCAGCATCTCATCTTGTCTTCAAACAACATCTCTCTGATTTCACCAGTGGCTTTTAAAGGCCTGAGAAGGCTAAAAGCCCTCAAGCTGCTTGATAATAAGCTGGTTGAACTTCCCCCAGAAGTGTTTGATGACATGATACAGCTTCAGCAACTGATCATTGAAAATAACAAGTTAAAATCCATAGAAGAAAATCTGTTTGACAAACTAGCTGGTTTGGAGGAGCTTCTCTTGAACAAGAACCAACTAACAGCACTTCCTAGTGGAGTGCTGAAGAAACTTGCCAAACTCAAAGTACTGAACTTGTCAAGAAATTGTTTGGCAGTGCTGCCTAAAAACATATTTAGTGCATTAACCAGGCTTGAGAAGCTGATGCTGTATTTTAACAGGCTGTCTTCAATAGAGTCTGGTATGTTTGATAGCCTGAAGGAGCTGCTGGAACTCTTCCTGCATTTTAATAACATCCAGTCCATCAGCCCTGATGCATTTCATTGTCTTCATAAACTGAGAACCCTAACGCTCTCCAGAAACAAGCTTGAGGCTTTGCCTCCTGGGCTTTTTCTGCACTTGCATGACCTGTCTAAATTGACCTTGTACAGTAACCCACTGAAGTCTCTTCCAGAAGTATTGTTTGGAGAAATGAGGCATCTTGGTAGCCTGTGGCTGTATCACACCAAGCTCTCAACAATACCAGATTTTGTGTTCAGTAACTTGACAAATTTAGAGCTTCTTGTACTGAGTTTTAATCCAGAGCTTCGTGCTCTTCCTCAGAATGTATTCAGTGGCCTGAACGAGCTGCGGGGCCTTTCTCTGCATACAAATAATATCTCCAGTCTGCCAGAGGGCATCTTCCTGAGCCTCCAGAAACTGCAGAACATTTCCCTTTTTGGTTCGAGGCTTGAGGTTCTTCCTAGAAACCTCTTCCATAATCTCAAGCACCTTCAGAAAGTTTACCTGAATAGCACCAAGCTGCAGTCTCTTCCTGGAGATATGTTTGCTGCGTTACCTGAGCTGCAGGAAGTCTCCCTTGATGACAACCCTTGGAAATGTGATTGCCAAATTCTTGGCTTCAAAGGGTGGCTCCAAAGGAGCATGGAGATAGTTAAAAATGTGCCATCTCTCACATGTGACAGCCCACTGGCACTGCAGAATATTTCTCTCGTGGCTCTAACAGATGATCATCTGAAGTGTCTGCCAAGCATAGCCAGTACCTACCAGATGTTCAGATCAACTTATTCTCAAGCTTCAACCTCTCTTGTGACAGAGCTGTTGACATCCTCCTGGGACACTACTGTAGCAACAGTGTCTGACGTGGATACCAGCACACCCACATCAGTTCCTCTTTCAACTCCAGCTTTTACCTACTCACATATTCAAGATGTTGGAAAGCAGAGGTTTCATTTCTCAGATATCCCAACCCAAGCTTCTCCCAGTATTACAGTAGAAAACAACAGTGCCAGAGGAACAGATTTGGATACTCTGGTCTGGTGGGATGAGCTGCCAGCCCGCAGGAGTGCTAAGCCCAATTTTAATACAAGAATAGCTTATTGTCAGCTATTCTTGTGCCTTCACAGTTTGATTTTAGCACTCCAGGCCATAACCATTGTGTTTAGTCTGTATGTGATGGGTAAAATCAGGCAGCTCTTGCACTCCAAAAATACTGCTGCTCAGCCTGTAGTTCTGATAAAATTTTTAAGAAGGTAGAGAATACCAGCCAAAGAGAGGATTAGAAGCACTGTTTTGGATTAATTTTGTGAGCATTTGGGCAGTTCACACTTGATTTGGATCTGGATGACAAATCTTTATAGCAAGAACCATAAAGACCTTGTTTTTACAGCATAATTGAAATGCACTTTTATGTACCTTAGTGTTTGCCAAAAGTGACTGTGATCATGGTGTGTTGCTGCAGCACTTGGTGTGTGAACTTGAGGGAGAGCTGAAAGAAAATCTCTGATCACCTTTACATGTCTGGTACTAGTTTCCTGCTGTGGAGTATAGACCTGTCCCTGCCAGACATCCCTGCCTGCTGTCCTGCTCACACTGCTCAGATGGAAGTGGTATCAGTGTATGGAAGTCTACACAGAATATGGATTTCACCATGCTTTAAAGGTTGCCTGTAGTACTCCAAATGCTATTACATCTTCTGCTGCCTTTTTTGTCTCCTTATTGAGAGAAAAAATGGTTTTGGGAGGAGATGCTGAAAAAGACCTTTTAAAAATGGAGGTGAGGGCAAAATGTTATGGTGCAAGTGTCTTTGTTTTTCCATACTGTCCTCAGCCCCTTTTCAGGACATGGCAGAAGGAAGGGCTACTGTTTAAAACTAACCATGCTTAGCTCTACCTTAACCAGAGGAAGAGAAGGTGCTGGGCAAAAAGTATAATCTTGATGTATTTTGGTTTTTTATTGTCTTTTGGAAACTCTGTAATATTAATCCAAATTTGAATTTTAAGTAAACACTCTCATCAAACTTTGCCCGGTGGTGTGAAAAGCAGGGTGTTACTCACTGCATGATGCAGCCAGTCCTGAACCCAGAGTACCAGGGAGATGCCCAGGACCAAGACTTGGCTGCAGAGGAGTGTAGCTGGTGTGAGAGCTGGTCTGACTGAGCTGGGAGGGAGCCTGCCCGAGCCAAGGGCCCTGAAGTGTTGCCACCTTTTTTGGGGCTGGCTGGGGAGCATTCACCTGAGCATCCAACTGCAGTAAGCAGTGCAGTGTTCAGTCTCAGTAATGTAACCTTTTCTTACTCCATAGCATTGCTCCCCGATTTTGGCCCTTTCAGTTGTTGATGCGCAAAGACAACTATGAGGCAATAGGGTGGAGTTTGGTCTTCATACTTTAATATTTTTTAATATTTTGAATTTTAGGAGTATTTTAGTTTGTAAGTAGACTGGTAGCTGTCTGACTGCCTGTGCTTTGGTAGCTCTTGGATTTAACTTTAAGGTGTTGCCTTAATGATGTGACTTAGCTTGTTCTTAAAAGCTGTGATGTGCTTAAAATCTAGAGCTGGATGAAAGAGCCTTTGGATGTGGTTCCCTGGTTCCTTGGGCAGAAGTCCTTGTAATTTAGGAGTCCTTTTGTAGCCTTACTGGCCTTCTAACTAGTGATGTCTTCCCTGGATGGACTTGAAATGGCACTTTAAAAGCCTGAGCTGAAGAGAGCTTGCATTTGCCCTAGGTCTGTGGATTGTCCCCTGGTGTGTGCTACTCGAGGCAGTGAAATGAACTATGGACTGCTTTGCTTCAGGATGCTCTGCTGCTGGACTTTAATTCTTGTTCTAGGCCATGAAAGGAGGCGGTGCACTTCTAAGATGTTTGATAACCATTGTCTTGCTGGTGAAGTTTAACAAAATTTAGCAAGCCTGGCTAAATGGTTGGTAGAGCCATCTCTAAAGAAGGAGAAAAGGGAGTCGCAATAGCTGGTGTGGAGCAAATGGACTGAGTTCACAAACAAGCACCAGAGTATTTATGGCAATATATTTAAGAGAAGCACAAAGCCAATGTGAAGCTTTCTTGGTGGTGGTTCGAGGTTGTTACATGCTAGTGCTTAAAAATGCTTAAAAATAGGCAGTTGTTACTAATTTAGGTTGAGCAACTGTAATGACCACTTAGCATTGCTTCAGCGCTGCTGTGCCGGTGCCACGCAGGCAGCTGCTCGCAGCAGGCAGGAGATAAGTATAATCTGGACTAACGAGGGAATTGTTCTACAAACCATACTGGTTGTTGTTTCCCTCTGCGAGACAGTGAAGAAACACTCTCATGGCCATGGGCACTGGGATGCACACTGTTGGATTTCTAAGAAAAAGCAGCAGTGTGGTTGCCATATGGGCGTGTGCCACCCTGATGCCCAGCCTCTGCAAGAGCAGTGTGCTAGCAGCAGCTGCCATCTTTCTGAGCCCCCTTTGGCCTCCCAGTGGGGCCAGCTGGGTCTCTGCAGCTCCTTTGGCTCCCGTTCTGCCGTGGCTGAGCTCTGGCATGTGGGGGCTTTGGCACGTGGTGTGTACAGTCAAGTGCTGCTCAGAGGATGATTCCTCTGCACATGCTGTCATCGGGCTTTCCCCGCGCCTGACGGGCCAGACAGGGAAGTGAAGTCAGCAGACAACAAAAGGCTGGAGCAATAAGGGCCTGGGATGTTTTAGTAACTCTTTGTCTGAGGTGTCCTGTTTTGAGCTGCCTCTGACTTATTGCTTGTTGCCCAGCAGAGCTCAGCCCTTCCTGCAAAATTCCCTAGCCTGGGAAATCCGAGAATATGTTTGTTTATAACCTGTCTCTATTTTGCCTGGAGAAGGGATGGTCTTCTGGCCAGCATGATGGCAGGGGAAGCAGCAGGGAGGGCTCCTTGGGGAATGTGCAGCTGCACTTCAGACCCTCTCTGGGCAGCATTGCCTTGGTGTCTCAAGGTGCTGATGGTTTGCCATCGCCAGGGTGCTGGCAAGGTTCCTCCCAGTCCCTGCAGCTCACACCTTTACAAATACTGCCTGGCCTCTGCCACCAGGCTGGGCCTGGGGGACAGTGGGCTGGATAAGGCTGAAGGTGTCTAATCTCTGCTGCTGGGAAAGGAGTAGATTAAAAGCATGTCTGTGCTTGGCAGCTGAGGGGATCAGCTCCACACCCTTGGCTGCTGTACAGACCCGGGATGTGAAGTCGTGGTTAGCAGTCCTGCATGTTGACCAGACCTCTGAGTCCCAGAAGCTGCCTTTGGGGAGAGTTTGGAGTATGTCACCAGTACAGCCAAGCCAAAGGTCTTTTGTAACTCACTTTGTTCCCTCAAACACTTGTTCATGTGGTGCCTGTTTCTACTCCCAGTGCTTTGGAGCAGTGGGAACCTCTGACTGCTGTGCTGGGCCATGGGAGCACACAGCATGTTTCTAGCTTGATGTCACTGCAGGTGCTGTTCTCATTTGCTTGAATGCACTGAGTCCCCTCCTATCAGCCTGAAAATCATGGTGGTAAGGTGGGAATTAACTGCTGCTGCAAGTGCTGGGAGCTCTGCCTGCTTCCCAGCTGCTGAGGCCCCTTCCAAGCCACCAGCACACACGTCCTGGGCTCGTGTCCCCAGCATCTCTGCCCTTTCTGTCACCTCTGCCACATGAGGCCAGTAGCTGCTGGAGGGCCTTTGCTGCTGCTTGCACAGGGGAGCTCAGGTGGGTACCTACTAAATGGAGGCTGCATCTTGCATCTTTCCTCTCCTGGTGGCAAAGAGAAGCTGGGTGATGGCAGATGTGCTCAGAGAAGACACCCAGCAGCGCTCCATGGTTCAAGAGCACGTGTGACCTCTGGCTGCGAGGCAGGAGCTCTGGGATCCTCTGCTTGACATTCTGGAGCATTGGCCGTGACTCCACCAGCACATCTCGCCTGGGGAAGCTGATTCAGCAGCTGCGATACAAGAGAAGAGCATTTCCTGGGGATGACAGAATATCTGGGAGGAGATGCAGCCAAAGGCACATACCTGTGGGCCAAGGCTGCGAGTGTTTACAGGCTCTCAAAGTGATCAGGAGGCCTGAAGCTCCTGCTTTGCCCCTGCTCCATCCAGAGATGGGCAAGCTATGGAGGTGTTATGCCTCTATTTTCCTGGAAGGAACCTGGGTTCACATTCCCCTTCCCTCCTGGCTGTTTGTGGGCAGATGAGCCCTGGCAAAGCCTTGCCTGGGCCATGGTAGGCGAGTCCTGCTTCGTTGAGGGGTGGGGACTGCTGCACCAAACTCAGCCCCTCTTGTGCAGTTGCTGCTGTGGGACTGTCATGCTTCTCCACAACGTGCCAGGCTTCCAGCTGTGCCTTTGTGTCTCTCTCTAGATGAAAAAAGCCCAGGGCCAGGAGCCAGCGTCGGGCTGGCAGCAGCTCTGCAGCCTGCTCTGCACTCCCTGCTGCCTTCCCCTGAGCTTGAGGGGCAGATGGGCCCCTTGCCCCTTGGGGTGTCAGGAAAGGGTCCCTGAGGCACCCCCTGGTGCCAGGGATGGCTTAAGGGAGAATGGGGGGAGGCTGGTCCAGCAAACTCCTCAGGGTGCAGAAGCAGGGACAGCCCCCACCATTGCTTCCCTCTCCAGCAGCTCTTTCCCAGTCTCGCAGTGCTGATCGGACAAGCTCTTTCCGCTTCGGATTATCTCTCCAGGCGGACTTGGCTGCAAGTCCCACATTCCTTCTAGCCTAGCCATGCCCTGTGCCTGTGCCAAGCCCTGCCTGCTGCTGCTGCTGCTATGGCTCCTGGCTTGGGCCAGAGCTTAGCCTGGAGGTGACAGTCCTGCTGGCCAGGTGAGCTCCACAGGTGATTGGGTTCCTAAATCCCATTTTCCTTGAGCTCCAAGAGGCTTTACAGTGTGTCTCATGCTGGTGCTTGGATGCAGGTTAGTCTGATGGCCATCCCTGCTGCTCATCCTGGAGGGAGGGAGCAGGGCTACTGCTCCTTCCCAAAGTTCTCACCCTGCACATGTGCTTCCCCAGGGAAGGCAGGACTTGTCCCCATCCCTTGCCCCACATGCAGATGTGGCATCCTGTAGCCATGGGCAGTGGGGCAGCCCTGGCCCTGCACATCTCCTGGATTGTTGGCCCTGTAGAGGTGCTTGCTCTCTTGTTTGGGTTCTCCAAAGGCTTGGGAGGTTGGGTGTGTGTGTGTGTGTGTGTGTGTGATGGGGAAGGAACTCCTGGTGCCTCTCTCATGAGGATGGGGGGACCCAGCACCAGTCCTTCACCTCTCAGCCATGGCTTGAGCC